TGTGTGTGTGTGTGTGTGTGTGTGTGTGTGTGTGTGTGTGTGTGTGTGTGTGTGTGTGTGTGTGTGTGTGCAGGCATTACCACAGCATGGAGGTGTTCACCCTCTACGACCTGTTCACTCTCAATGGGACTAAAGTGGCAGAAGGACACAAAGCCAGTTTCTGTCTGGAGGACTCGGAGTGCGATGAAGGTGAGGAACAACACAAGAGGTCAAATTATGTTTGAAAAAAGTCTAAATGAATAGTCGTTGAACAATTGTATTCGTAAAAAAACTTGAATTACTAGAAAAAGTGAAATTATGACTAAAAAGTCAAATTACGACTAAAAAGGGAAATGATGTCAAGAAGTCAAAATTAATAATAGTTAAAATTTGTATTCTTAAAAAAAAGTGAATTTCTGAGATGAAGTCAAAATTCTGAGAAAAGATAACATTTGAAAAAAAACACGAATTTAGGAAAAAAGTCAAAATTCTGGAGGAAAAAAACGTGGATTTTTGGTATATTTGAGATTTTTTGAAAACTTTTCAGCAAATAGTTCATTAATTTCGTCCCGCTTCCCTGCAGGTATTGAGAAGAGATATGAATGTGCTAACTTTGGGGAGCAGGGCATCACAGTCGGCTGCTGGGATACGTACCGACACGACATCGACTGCCAGTGGATCGACATCACAGACATCAAACCTGGAGACTACATCTTCCAGGTGAGGAATCCATAAAGAGCCATACAACTGAGAAAATACCGACAATAATTAAAGAAAATGTAAAGAGATATAAAGGAAATAATTCATATTGTAATATTGGGGGAAATAAAAGTCCTAAGAGAAATACATTTTTAAAAAAAAACTAATTAATAACACTATATATAAATGAGGCAGACAACAAAGTTCTTCCTATTTTCCATTTGTATTCTATTTTCTTGCCTCTACATTATTTACTCTAAATAAAGAGTGATATGATCTATATGTTCACTTGTTGATATTCCCCCTCACAGATCGTGATTAATCCAAACTACGAGGTGCCGGAGTCGGACTACAGCAACAACATCATGAAGTGCAGATGTCGGTACGACGGACACCGGGTCTGGATGTACGGCTGCCATAACGGTGAGGAAAAAGTCAAATTCTGGGAAAAAGTAAAAAATCTGAAAAAACTTGAAAAGTCAAATTATGTTTGAAAAAAGTCAAAATTAATAATAGTTGAATAATGTATTCAAAAAAAAAAGTTAAATTCTGAAAACAAAATCAAAATTCCGAAAGAAATGTCAAAAATCTGAAAAAAAACTTTAATTTTTGAAAAAAACTCTAATTATGACTATAAAATCAAATTATGTTTGAAAAAAGTCAAAATTAATTAAAAAAAAAGGAAAATAAAGTGAAATTCGGAAATAAAACATTAATTTAAGAAGTACCCCATTATACTTGAAGAATTAGGTGAGGGCCGATCAAAAAAGGGACCACGGGCCACAGTTTGGACACCCCAATGACTTTAAAAAATGTGTTTTTACATGTTATACTAGGCAAGGCAAGGCAAGTTTTGCTTTTGTTTGATTGGAGAAAGTTCTGACTCATCCAGTCATTGATGTGCTCAATGCACTTACTCAGTGTTGTAATTGGAGAGTAGTCTCCTGGTGAAATTGTTATATACATTTGGGTGTCATCTTTATAGCTATGATAACTTTGGTCATTGTTTTTCATTATTTGAGCCAGTGGTAGCATATACATATTAAAAAAGCAGAGGTCCTAAGATAGAGCCTTGAGGAACCCCACCTGTCATATTTGTCAACGCTGATGTGTAGTTGCCTATAGAGACTCTAGT